GGCTCTCTGGCTGGGCTGCTGGCCAAGGACGGCAGGAAGGGGCTGGCAGTAAGTCCTGGAGGCTGACGATGTATTGGGTACACTGACTAGCGGGACATTCCAGAAAAGGCTATTCAGAGTACGCATGGGCATATGCCTGGATTTCTTATTTTTAGCAATGAGATTGAAATAAATGCAAATAAATTGCCTCAGGGATATGGATGTTTTGAAAAAGCTTAGAAATTGGTATATTGTTAAGCTGAGCTATCTTTGATTAAATCTATTTTGAGTCCTATTTTGTTGCTATTGTTGTCTTTTGTTTTTGTATACTAAAACTTCGTGTTCTTGGGCCCCAAATTCATATACATACCAGTTAGCTTTAGAAGTCTTAGGGATGCTTAACAATTACACTACCTCGTAATTTAGTGCCAAATATGTGATGATCTTTAAGTAGTTGAGCTTTAGTTTGTTTACTGACTTAATATCTTTTTTACGTTCTCCTCGCCCTTCTTAGGTGTTGGAGGTGCTTCTGAAAACGATGACCCTTCCAAGATGGTTATGGTTCTTGCAGCCACCAACTTTCCCTGGGATATTGACGAGGCATTAAGACGCCGCCTTGAAAAAAGAATCTATATTCCATTGCCATCAGGTATCTTCATTCAACTCTTGCCAGAAAGCCATGTTAACTGTTAGGTCATTTGGCTTAGAGATTTTAAAAATTTGGTATTAATTGGGGTGCCTGAGTGGCTCAGTCGGTTAAGTGTCCGACTTCAGCTCAGGTCATGATCTCATGGTTCATGGGGTCGTGCCCTGTGTCGGGCTCTGTGCTGACAGCTCGGAGCCTGGAGCCCTCTTGGGATTCTGTCTCCCTCTCTCTCTGACCCTCCCCTGCTCACGCTGTCTCTCTCTCTCTCTCTCTCTCTCTCTCTCTCAGAAATAAATAAAACATTAAAAAATATTTTTTTAAAAATAAAATATGGTATTAATTGACTTTCCTTTAAAGAGACAAATGTAGGATGTCTTTCCTTGTATTAATAGGTTTGGCTCTCTCTAGAACTTGAATGCCTTGATACCAGAAAATTTTAAATTTTTAAACAAAGGAGCTCTAAGAATTGGAAAACCACCTTCTCATACAAAGTAGACTTGATTACGTTTATGTTGAAGGCTTACATTTTAAAATTTGTTTCCATCATTAGCGAAAGGCAGGGAGGAGCTGTTACGAATAAGTCTGCGTGAGCTGGAACTGGCTGATGATGTTGACCTTGCGAGTATAGCAGAAAATATGGAAGGCTATTCAGGTGCAGACATTACCAACGTATGCAGGTATGAATTATCTTGAAAGCATAGGTTTTTGTGGGTATTAACCTATGTTATGAAGCTTTTATGCCGAATTAATAAGGTAGGTGAAGATTAAAGACCTACATGATAGTTTCTAGTCAGAGACACCAGCTTTGGTATGAAGCTCGTGGTAAGGTGCTGGTAAGAATCGGAGTGTCTCGCATGGCACTGAATAGTCTGGTGCATTTGAAAAAAGTTTGAGAATTTACTATTTTAGAACAACTGGTATAAGATGGAAAATCAGCGATTATCTGGGATGAAAAACACGTTGATGTGCCTTTTCCATGTACTTGTAAGAAATAGAGCCATGGGACTGGTTGGGCATACTCAGGGAGAGGACAGTCTCCCTGTCAGTGCAAGTGTCCCGTATATGATAGGAATGACAGTAGAAAAGAAAAAAGACAGCCTCTAATCCAGTTGACTCCAGTAGGTTTTGTCCTAATCTAAGCACTAGTTCATATGTTTATTAGCAAAGGACTCGTAAAGTAAGCACCCCACGCAGGTGGTTGTGGGGATTGTGAGAACGTGTGTGTGTGTGTGTGTGTGTGTGTGTGTGTGTGTGTGTGTGAAGCAGCTGTTTGTTGCTGTCCCTTTGCATAAATGGTGGCTGTTTTCAGAGATGAAACTTGGTGAAAGCAGAGGTCCTTGAATCTGAAGTTTCTTTAAAGACAAAAACACAAAAACTCAAAAGACAAACAGACCAAACCAGTACAGAGGAGGAAAAAACACCTTAATTTGATCATTTAGTTTTTCCTAGAAAACAGGTAGAAAAAAATATTTTTCAGCTAACAGGTTCCCTCCTCTCTAATGTTTATTTTATTGGATACTTACAAAGAAGTTCAGTTGCTAGCTTCTTTGTTATATCCTTTTACTTTTTCTTGGGCTTCCTGCTCAGTATCATTAATTTAACCAATATCCTTATTTTCATCATGGAGGATTTAACTGCTACAGAGCAACTCAGAACCAGCCCATGTATTCTGATAGAAGATTCTATGAATACTACATACATGTAGTATGGATGATAAGAGTACCACATACTGAAAAAATTTTCTTTTCACAGGTTTATATTCAGTCAAAATAATGCTTTGTGTGTGTGTGTGTGTGTTTTCATTTAAAAACTAGGGATGCATCCTTAATGGCAATGAGAAGGCGTATTGAAGGTCTGACCCCAGAAGAAATCAGAAATCTTTCAAAAGAGGAAATGCACATGCCTACAACTATGGAGGACTTCGAAATGGCCTTAAAGAAAGTTTCCAAGTCAGTTTCCGCTGCAGACATTGAAAGATACGAGAAATGGATATTTGAGTTTGGATCATGCTAAGCTCTCACATGTAAAATGTTGAGAAACCTGCCTTAAGTGTTTGAATAATAATTAAATGTAGTATTTCATTGCACCGAGTGCTATATTTTTTTAAACTTTCATGATGGTAAGATTTAAAAAAAATACGATTCTGAATAAAGGCAATTTTTTAAAGCTGCACGCAAATTTGTTTTAGTGTTACCCGATTTCTCTTTCACTGACCATGCGGGCAGCACCAATGTGATTACATAGCTTGGAAAGGTGTCTTTACACGCACTTCTAGGCACAGCGTCTGATCTGCCCTGTCCGGCTGCCGCTCCTCCTTCTAGAAGACCGGCTGCAGCACCGTGGGCGCAAGCAGGTAACGGGAAGTTCCCTAACATTTTTACATAAGTAGCCAGTTGACACATGAACCACGCATTGTGCGCCTTCCTTCCTATATGCTGTTCCAGTAGCTTCCCTCCCTGTCCTGGGAGCCTATAAAGCCCCTTCATTTTACAGTGCGCTTAAAAGGAAGAAATATAGATCTACGTATAATTCTTTCAATGTTCATTTTCTTTAAATTTACTTTTAAGAAAGCGCGTGTGAGAGAGGGGTAGGGTGGGGCAGAGAGAGAGGACACATCCCAGACAGGCTCCACACTGTCACTGCAGGGGCCGACACAGCGCTCAGCCCCACAAACTGTGAGATAGTGACCTGAGCAGAAATCAGGAGTTGGACACTTGACCAGCTGAGCCACCCAGGTGCCTCCATATATACTCTTGCTTGACTTTATTCTGCCCATGAGGCTGCCCTATAGGCGAAAGTTGATGCTTGTAAGCCTGTGCTGCTCGGTGTGCCCTAATGAGTGACACTCATTAACCCATTCACTCATGGATACCACGCATAATTAAAATAGCAGTTTATGGGGTCACTTGGGTGGCTCAGTTGGTTACATATCTTGACTCTTGGTTTTGGCTCAGGCCATGATCTCACAGTTTATAGGATCAAGCCCCGAGTTGGGCTCCTGTGTTGGCGGCACGGATCCTGTCTGGGGTTCTCTCTCTTCCTGTCTCTCAAAAATTTTTTAAGAGGTAATAGTTAATGGTGCAACTATAAGTTAATAAATGAAATAAAAATTAATGGCATACAATCTTAGGTAAGATTCATTTAGGATTACTTTTTTTAATGTTTAATGATTATTTATTTATTTTGAGAGAGACAGACTGTAGGGGATGGGTGGAGAGAGAGTCCCAAGCAGGCTCCTAGCTGCCAGCACAGAGCCCGAGGCGGGGCTTGAACTCATGAACCATGAGATCATGACCTGAGCCAAAATCAAGAGTGGGATGCTTAACTGACTGAGGCCCCCAGGCGCCCCAAGGATTGCTTTTAAAAAGACAACTTATTGTATCATCTCAACCATAGAAAACAGATCCTCAAGGACACTTGAGTGCTGGGGTGCCTGGGTGGTCGATTACGTGGCCAACATTGGCTCAGGTCATGATCTCGTGGTTTGTGGGTTCAAGCCCACATCGGGTTCTGTGCTGACAGCTCAGAGCCTGGTGTCTGCTTCAGATTCTGTGTCTCCCTCTCTCTCTCAAAAATAAACATAAATAAAAAAAGACTCAGTGCCACTCCATGGTCCCAGGTGTCACTGGTAAGGAGGCAGCACAGGGCTCTGCTAACTGCAATGCCTACACTCGCCAAATGGCCATGTGACGTTCTATAGTGTTCTCTTTACTAGAGTCTATAGGCACTAATGCTTAATGGGTGCAGGAAGACTCCATTATTTGGAGGTGGAACTGGTAATTTCTAGCAGCTTTGAGGAAGGACATAGTTACTCTAAGCTGGGTGACTTTAGGATCAAACTAAATGACAGGTTATTATTCTTCTGTAATATGGAGAACATGTATTTCACAAGGCTGTTAGTCTTTATTAAAAACAGCTAGGCAAAGTGAAACCTCACGCCTTCACTCTGCCGCCTGTCATCCTTCCCCCCCACATACATCTCTATTTGGCCTAATCTAAGGTTTTATCTTTTACCTCCTCTTCCCTGAGGTGGTCTTAAAAACCAGTCATTACTTTCTTAAAGTGTTTAAAATATGGGTTGCAATAAAAAATAACAGAATAGGAAACATCAATCCCATGGAGCAAAGGTACTATCTATTCCAGATCACATTATAAATAGATGTCAATATAAGAGATTTTTTTTTTAAAAAAGAGACCAAACACTGTTGAAGGGTCAGCAGCACTCAGAACGACACGAGCCAGGACCAGGGCACCGCCTAGTTCCAGCACGCTGAGGGGCTCACTCACCAACCTGAGCCCTGGTTTCAGCCAGTGAAAGGAGCTCTTACCAAGAAGTTACTTCTTGCCTGGGAAATGCTTTTAGATCAAAACTCTATACTGTTTTCCTCAAAAAAAGTTTATTTTGGGGTGAGAACACATCACTACTATTTTTAAATCCTCGTGCATTCAAGGTCTAAGTAGTCTTGGTACAGGATACAATCAAATCATGATAGGTTTCAGTGATTTTATATGGAGTCACATACTTACTATAAAGGCACATTTTACTGAATAAAAAAATAAGTGTTAAATTCTTGAGCTTTTAAATTAGAATTTCATAAAGTGCTTTTCATGAAGTCTCATGTTCTAGTAATTAAGTGGATATAAATCCTTTACAAAGGCACCTTGAAAAGTATTGGCACGTGGCGTTTCGTCTTGCCCTTTTGTTTCTTTTTGGTAATTTGGAAGTTTCTTCACGTCTTCTCTTCCACTTCATTTAGATTTTTCTTAACAATTCATCATCTGAATAGCCAGCCCTGTTCTAGAATAAGGTGAACTTTAACATGTCACTTTAAAGGTCAAGTTTTAGGCAGTTTTAGGAGCTTAGCAATTTCCCTGGTGTATAAGCAGATTCTTAACGATTTAAACGAAATTCAGGTGGCAAATTTAGAGCCAAATGACTAATTCAGAGTCCATGACTTGAGATGGTGTTTTAGACACATGTTTTATCTTCAAGGTTTTTTTCTCTTTTCTCAGTATCATCTGGAAATAAGTTGATAGCTGTCACAGATACAGTATTTGCTTTATCCAATTGAAGAATTCCTCTGAAATACAAAGATAAAAATTAACCATTTCCTCTGTCTATAGTTTGGTAGTAAGAAAGGCCTACCTACTTCACGGTTATAATTAAATGTATACCTGGGGTTAAGTGCTTTTGCTTCATTTTATTTAGTTTATAATAGCTGGGCAAGCTCTGAGTCCAAAGCTCGCTTTAGCCGAACTGACAGCGAACAGAAAGGTGTTAGGGGAGGTTCCTCACTTACACGGCAGGTGGGGACAGGGCCGGGAAGTACAGGTCTCCAGGGCAGACACACCCCAGATGTGCACAAGTTGGTCTAAAAGACCAGGCCCAGCAGCTTTGTAACTGGTACCACTGGGATGCAACCTTATCTATTTAGACCGCATTTTCCCTTTTTCTCCTCAAGTGCCTGACCAGGGAGGAGATCTCTGGATTGTATCCTAGACCCTCTTTGGCAAGTTCAGTGTCATCCCAACCGAGATGGCAGCAGAAGGTAGTTGTTTATGGAGCTCATCAAGCTGAATCTACAAGTTCACAAGGAGAAACTGTAAGAACAGTTGTAACCATGTTTTGAAAAAGAAGGACGGGGGGGGTGAGGGGGGACGGCTGCTGGTTTTATGAAGGCAGAACAGTACTTAGGAGTGCGCCGCTGGCACGGTACTAGACGAAGGTACTAGACGAAGCGGTGGGAGAAGAGGGTCCAGAGAGAAGAGTAATGTAAGCAGGAATCCAGTTCATAACAGGGTAACGTTCCGACTCAGTGGGCACATTATAGCCGGAACAACAGCCTCTCTGGAAAACAAAAACTCAGAATTCTAGCTTAATCTATACACAAGTGATGGTAAAAATGTTTTAAGATGACAAATAATTTTAAGAAGGGAAAGGTCTACTTAAGAAAAATGTAAAACCCTTAAGAGCCACAAAGGAAAGGCATGGGTTGCTCTAACCCCAAACTTAAACTTTGTCCTTTCCTTTTTTTTCTAAGGAGGCCTCACACCCAGCACAGATCCCATTGAGGGCTTTGGCTCACGATCCCGAGATCAAGACCTGAGCTGAGATCAAGAGTCAGACACTTAACTGACTGAGCCACCCAGGCACCCCCCAAACTTAAAATTTCTGTATGATACTAGAATTTAGAGCAAAAGATAAATCGCAGTCTAAGATAGAAAAAAAAAATTGGAATAGATACTAAGTGTGTATAACAAATAAAGGAGCTCCAATGATTACAAAGGGCAGCACAACCGGAAAATGACCAAGGCGATAAGCACGCATGTCACGGGAGAAACACCCAGCCCGCTCCCCGGGGATGCTCGACTCGGCCAGGCCGCGGCTGGCAAGTGGGAAGAAAATGCAAAGTAACTGAAATGAGATACTTCTGTCTCCAGCAGCAAAAGCAGAGCAGATTGCCGTCAGGTGCCGACAAGATATTAAATACATAGATTTTAAATACGTACATTCTTCGACCCAGCAAATTCACTTCTAGGGATCTATTCTACATTCAACACCCTTGTGCAAAGAGATGCGTGTGCATTTAAGATGGACACCAGAGCGGCCCTGGAGAGAACGTGAAACTGGAGCTTCCCTGAGTGTCTAGTGGAAGGGTGGGTAGGTGGCAGCATATTCATCCCGTAGAACACTATGCAGCCCCGGGGGGAGTCAAGAAGCTTCCCTAGGTGTGGGCACGAGAGCTCTGAAGCCCACGTTCCCCGACGCACAGACAATCCTGGGGCGGCACTGCCACCTCGGGGGGTAGTTTCCAGTTCCGACGTGAGACTGCTACACTGTCCTTTCAGTGAAGTCCGATCTTCGCAAAGCTGGATGCTGGCAGTTACTGTGGTAAGAGACAAATACTGTACGAAAGCTAGTGTTGAACAGGAAATAGGGTGGAAGCGTCCAGTCTGATTCTTAGAGATTTGTGTAGTGGCCTACAGGCGCATACGTCTCACTGGAAAATGTACATGTATATGTGTGTATGTAATTAAGAATTAAATAGACATTTTTTCTTTTAATTTCTGGCCTAGATCGGGGCACCAGGAAAAGATTACTGGCACACTAAGAGTGCTGTGTAACAAGAAGGTTTAGGAACTTCTGTCATTAAGTGAATAAGGCAATTTGTGGGGCAGTTACGGCTCTAGGATAGGATGATCAACAGTTACAATGACCTTAGCATACATTTATACATACAAATTATACATATATAATTACATAGCATACGTTCATACATACAAAGAATTTGGATAAAAGATGCACACCCTAAAAGTTACCAATGATTCCCCCTAGTGACAAGAACTAAAGAACAGGGAAAAGAAAGAGGTATTTTAACTGCTCTCTATATTTCTGCATTGATGAAATCTTTTACTACTAGAAAGTATCCTTAGTACATCGGCCATTGATAAAAAGTACCACTGCAAGGGTGCCTGGGTGGCTCAGTCTGCTGAGCGTCCCCTTGGTTTAGGCTCAGGAAATGTTCTCACATTTGTGAGTTCAAGCCCCACGTCGGGCTCTGCACTGACAGAGCAGAGTGTGCTTGGGATTCTCTCTCTGTCTCCCTGCCCATTCCCTGCTCTCTCGCTCCCTTTCTCTCAAAATAAATAAACTTTTTTTTTTTTTTTTTAAAAACAGAATACTGCAAACCTGGTTTTTAATTTACATTCTTTTTCCCACAGAGAAGCCCATAACAAAACATTTGGTAAAAGAACAATAAAAAGAACTATAACACAGTTTTCTGTGCAGGTTTGCCTAAAAATGTTCAAAAAAAGTCCTGAGCTTCCTAGCAGTCAAAGGAAATAGAAAGAAATGATGAAGTTCCAGAATTTACAGTTTTAGAAAGAAAGGGGAAATGTGAATTCTTCAGGGGAAACCAAACTAAAATGTGGGAGGGGTACTAACATTTCTTTTCTTTTTTTTTTTTCCTAACATTTCTTAGCAGGCACTTCGCTTGCAATACGGCCTCTTAACAACCCTTTTAAAGGAGGCATTAGTTCAATGTTAAACAAAAGAAATGGGAGCTTTGAAGACCTTAAGCAAGTGGGAAAGTGAATGTTTAAATTGGGTCTTTTTTTTTTTTCTATAAACCCTATGGTCTTTCCAACATAGTACAATATAGTTTAAGCCAAAAATTGTGGTTGTCTCTAATCTACTGAGATTTACCTCTACTAAGACAACTAAAATGACTATGTAACTAATCTTTCTTTCTTCTTTCTCTCTTTTTTTTATTTAAACTCCCCCCTCAACGAGGGATTCCAACTCACACCTTAAAATCAAGCAAAGCTGCATGCTTCAACCGACTGAGCCGGCCAGGCAACCCTGTTTAACTTGCAAAAATGCTAACAACAAATTCACTTTTAAATTTACAAGATAAGTTCTTACGGTTAAAAACATCAAGCTGTACAGAAAGGGAAGAAGTGAAAGTCATTCTCTCGATCCCTGCTCTCATCCTTAGGCATTAGAGATTACTTTGGCATCCCAGAAATGTTCTGTGCTTTTATATACATAATACTTTTGTTTTATGCAAATGAAATCAGACCGTTATACAACGCTGTTCCCCACCTACTAGGCTTGGGGCTGTTTGCATCTCACCTGCACAGAATCCCGCTGCGTGTGTCAACCACTGGTTAGTGACTCCCCACAGATCAACGGTTCGGACGCCTCCTCTCCCGCGTTCTGTTAGGAGCGGTGCCGCCCCAGCCACCGCGCCAGTCCTCTCAAATCCACATCATTTTAGATTGGTGGTGTGAGGTAGGGAACACACAGGGAGGCCCTCATTCTGGTTGCTAACCTAACGCTGCACTTTCCAGTACAGACACAGGCTTCCACTCTCTCTCACACTCAGTTCTTAGAGAGCAGTCTGTCTTGTTCACGTCTGCACGCCCAAGGCCAGTGTCTTGTTCACGGTTGATACCCAGTAAGCACCTTAATCGTGCGACAGGCGGGAGATGAGCTAAAACAAAAGCGGACATTATTTCCCTCCCGCTTGCCTTACAGCCTTCCTTATAGTTACAGATTTCCTACTTTAAAACACAGTAAAGACAACTTGCTTTTTAATTAGTAAAAATACTAATGTTTCAAAAATAAGAAATACTTACTTGTATTCACAAACTGGGAAAAGCACCTTTAACACGGTTATTACCACAGCTGCTCCTAGAATTCCAACCACCATGACGTTCAGAAACATGAAGAACACAGGAAGAACACTGCTCCAGAATCTACACAGATCTTTTCTGAACTTTTCCATCCACTGACACATCACCTAAGAAAGGAGTTTTCATTAGATGAGCCAAGTATCATCTGATCTAAGAAACTTTAAAAATTATGGTCTAGTTTGGGGCCCCTGGGTGGCTCAGTCGGTTAAACATCCGGCTTCGGCTCAGGTCATGATCTCACGGTTTGTGGGTTCGAGCCCCGCTTTGGGCTCTGTGCTGACAGCTCGGAGCCTGGAGCCTGTCCTCAGATTCTGTGTCTCCCTCTCTCTCTGACCCTCCTCTGCTCACGCTGTCTCTCTCTCTCTCTCTCTCTCAGAAATTTAAAAAAAAATTATGGTCTAGTGTAGGTTGATGATAAAATTCTGTATTCTGATGGTGATGCTGGTTACACGGGTGTCTACATTTATCAAATCTTATTTTACTGTACATTTTAAATGGGTGCATTTTATTTTAAAATGTATCTTGATAAAGTTATTTACGGTTTTAAAAATTATGTTCTAGTAACACAGGCACAGGAATGTTATTTTATTTATTTTATATATATATATATTTTTTATGTTTTATTTATTTCTGAGAGAGACAGTGTGAGCAGGGAAGGGTCAGAGAGAGAGGGAGATACAGAATCTGAAACAGGCTCCAGGCTCTGAGCTGTCAGCACAGAGCCCAACGCAGGGCTCGAACCCACGAACTGCGAGATCATGACCTGAGCTGAAGTTGGACACTTAACCGACTAAGCCACCCAGGTGCCCCAGGAAAGTTATTTTATCATCCTTTACAATTATTTATACTATTGTCTATAAATTAAGTGAAAGTAATTGCTTGGTTAGTCTACGCAAAACAGACCAGAGGCAGCAATGAGTTTCCAGTACTCGGAGGACAAGAGCAGGAGAGAAAGGCAGACGTGTTAGTAGCCTTTGGTCCAGAAGGGGAGTTCGCTGTGCACAAATACAGTGACTTTGCTTAGAGTCAGAGTCGACACTAAGGTGCACGTGGACGGTGTGGGCTGCCTTGCCATGAGGAAGGGAGGTAGACACGGTCAGGGTGATGGCATTCAGGCAGCAAAAAGCGACCTGACCCTTTCTAGCAACCCCAAATAAGTAATCTCAACCTTCAGTGGGAACTTCAAAGAAGTCTCTGGAATCTGTTGAGACTAACCACAGACCTTGCTCACTTAAATTGAAATTATTATGAATATAAGACCTAGCTCAGGGGCGCCTGGGGGACCCAGTCAGTTAAGTGTCCAACTTTGGCTCGGGTCGTGATCTCACAGTTCGTGGGTTTGAGCCCCACGTTGGGCTCTGTGCTGACAGCTCAGAGCTTGGAGCCTGCTTCAGATTCTGCGTCTCCCTCTCTCTCTGCCCCTCCCTTGCCCACACTCTGTCTTCTCTCTCAAAAATAAACAAAAGAAAAAAAAAAAGAGAGAGACCTAGCTCATACATATGGAGAAATCAAGATACTCAGCATGAACCGTACATATATTCTCAGGCAGCCTTATAATGTCTTAGTGATCCAGGAATACTTAATACGAACAAATACACACTGTGTTTGTACCCAGTTTATTTAATCCGAGTAACGACTGCATGGTTTTACAGATTTAAGGAGATGCCCCACTGTACAGATAAAGTGGGGTTAGAGAGACCAGGAACTTGTCCAAGATCACACCACGAGTCAGGGGCAGGACCAGGACCCAGCCCCATGCCATCTGACTCCTGGCGTGTACTCTGAACCAAGCGTGCTCCGTCACTGTTCAGGATCCTGAGGGCACCATGTGTGTTTGTGCGTGTGTGCGTGCGTGTGAGGTGTTGGTCAGAGAATACATGGGAACGTGGGAATGACTCTGGACGTGAAAAGCCCCCCCCCAGAATGAAATCCAATGACTTGATAATCACGTAACTATATTATTAAATGAAACTTGAAAGGAAACAGGGATACCTAAAAATATCACACCAAAACAGCGATGAGCCCGAGATTAACGTTTCATACTTCCAACCCTCGTGGTTTCCGCCTCACTTGCAAGGTTATTTCTTCCAAAAATGCTTATCATATACAGAGAACCCCAAATCCCCGGCCTACCTTATATGAAGACGGAGGCTCTCCTCTGAGAGGGGTCTCAGGCAACTTGCCCGGCAAAGCGCCTTCGTCCGCGGTGGTCTCCACACTCCCGGTGAGGTACTGGCTGGCGGTCTGCAGCGCACTGACGCCCTCGCCTGAGGAGGCAGAGCCGAGTCACCAGAACGCCGGGCGCACGCCGGTGTCTCTCCTACCAGTTCTAACCTTACCAGTCCAGAAATTTGTGGGACACTAAGAGCACGTGTTTTGCCCCGGTAGAAAAAACATGACATTTGATTGTCCAGATTTAAATGCCAGATAGGAGCCCTACACCAAAACAGCTATGAGGAGCCACACCAGTTATGATTCTATTATCCAGAAAGTCAAAGCTCCAAAAAGTTCCATGTTTCAACGGGAAGAATGAACACTTCTTTGTCTCAATGAACCTAAACAATATTCTTTTTTTTTAAATGTTTATTTATTTTGAGAGAGAGCAAGCACGCACGAGCGCGAGTAGAAAAGGGGCAGAGAGAGAGGGAGAGAAGCCCATGCAGGCTCCATGCTGCCAATGCAGAGGTCAACATGGGGTCTGAACTCACGGACTGTGAGATCATGACCTGAGCCGAAATCAAGAGTCGGATGCTTAACCAACCGAGCCACCCAGGCGCCCCATAATCAATTTTCTTATTGTGTATTTTGTGATGACCGCCCAGAGGAAGAGTAGATAATTATAAAATGTCACTAACCAGTCATCACTGATCACTTTTTTGTGATCACTTTCTATTAAGACCCAAAACAGGTTCCTAACGTTCTTAGAAGGACATATAAAGTAATAGGCGTTGTAAAACATTTCTGAAAGAAGCCTACTTCCAAAGATATTAACTACAATTAAAAAGCTACCCACTTAAAAAAATAATAATTTCCTTAATACTTTAAGTAACAGTCTTTTAAAGTACCTTTTCTGGAGAGGTTAGGCAGGGTAAATAAAACGTCACTGTCTCGGGAAAGAGAAAACAGCATGCTTTCTTCCAAAGGTAGGGTGTAGCTTGAGTGCCTGAGAATTCCCTGGTTCTTAACTAAAATGTCAATTTCAGTAACTTCCTTCTGTTGAGCCTAGGAAAGAAAAAATGAGCAATGACTCTTTGTTTGCAATAATGGCACAACCCCGTAAGACTCTAAAACTAACTTTTCCTCCTTGATCTCTTTAACTAAAACGCTTACCCTCACAATCACGCTGTATTCCCCTCACTTGGAGGCATTTAATCAGCAGCTTTAATCTGAGTGTGTTAGCCCTCAGAATTACAAGGCTTGCTCTCCATTCTACTTCGTTTACTTAGACTTGGCCAGAGGACAAAGGTAGCAGAGCCATGAACCAAATTCAATCTTTTCATTCACTTTTCTGTTTACTAATGTTTACAATATTTTAAAGTGATATAAATATGTACAAATATAATCAGTGTTTTAAAAATGAATACTTCAAATGGTGAACAAATGCTAAACCAAGTAAAAAAAAATTCTAAGTGACTGGCTACAGGCAACATTAGGGTACAGTTCTTCCTTATCAAGTCGATGTAAATGATAAAATAATGGAACACAGGCATAACACTTAGCACAAATCTTTACAATTTAATTCCCTATTAATAATCGTACTCTCTTACTTGTTTTCCATCAATCTCTACTACCTCTTCTTGAATGACAATTAGTTGCAAACTGGAACCAGACGTCATAGGCCACTCGTGAACTAAAATCCTTACACTGACAATTCCAAAATATTCTTTTTCCTGCAAATTTTCCAGATTTTCATTCTTCACTACAAAAAAAAAGAAGTAGTGACAGCTTTGAACAAAAATTCCACCAAACCTGTCACTGAATTTGATTACTTTGAGGACTTGTGCATGGAACAAGACTGTTGTGTAACAGTTTCTTTGCCTTTCTTCCTCTCCAACTTCACTGATGTTACAGAATTTAAGAAAATAAAGACAACTTGACAAATCCTCACGATGTTCACAGTCACGGGAAAAGGGAAAAGCGCCTGGTGGTCTGTAGACCCCACCGCAGTAGCAACATCACTCTTCCTGTACGGAGCTCGTCAAGGAGGAACGAACGAGGCATAACTACTTCGAAAGCAGCCGCAAGACACAGCCAATCCCTGTTTTAGTTGGGGAAGTACCTTCATCCATCCATTCACTCATTCACAAAATCCAGGGATATAAGGGGCCCAGGCGGTAAAGACACTGAGTTTTTTTCTCAATTCTTTCTCCAGTAAATGAGCTGTTGCTACTGGAAAGGGCAGGCATGGGGAGGAGGAGGGGAGAGCCCTGCGATTACTCTCCACCAATGGACGATGGGGTAGGATTAGCTACTGGCTATGGTCCTCTTGAGCTAAGATCTCCCCAGTCCACACCAGTGGAGGTGTGGTGTGACCGTTGAGCTGGTCTACAGAACCAGCAGGTACCCTATTAAGGTAGAAAACACTACAGAAAACGACAAATCAATATAATTCAATGAAACTAGTGCAAAAGGAGCACTGAGTTTCTCAACTGTTAGTCCCTCAAATGCTATCATATGAGGATTGTTAGAATAAAAGGAACCAAGAAGGATATTCTGCACGCAAATCTAGCTCTTTAAATCGATTCAGGGGGCGCCTGGGTGGCTTAGTCGGTTAAGCGTCTGACTTTCGCTTAGGTCATGATCTCGTGGTTCGTGGGTTCGAGCCCCGCGTCAGGCTCTGTGCTGATTGCCAGCTCAGAGCCTGGAGCCTTTTTCAGAGTCTGTGTCTCCTTCTCTCTCTGACCCTCTCCTGCTCACGCTCTCTCTCTCTCCTAGAAATAAATAAAAATATTTAAAAAAAAATCGATTCAGTGCTTGTACAGGGCTATTCCCTTTATCTGGAATGTTCTCTACTACTCCCTCTCTCCTCATCCATTTTTGATAAACTACTGAGGTAGTTCTAGCTACTGTATCCCTACATTGCAGAGTTTGTGCTGTTTTTCTTTTTGAGAGAAAAGAGTGTGCGTACACGTACGCACCTGGGTGGGACAGGACAGAGAGAGAGAGGGAGACAGAGAAGCCAGAGCAGGCTCCATGCCATCAGCACAGACCCTGACACGGGGCTCAAACTCACAAACCGTGAGATCATGACCTGAGCCAAAGTCAAATGTTCAACAGACTGAGCCACCCTTGGGTGGCCACCTTGCCTTTTTTTTAAGCACTTTCTCGCAGTGTAGCCCTTCACTTATCAGCCTGTCTCCTCAACTAGGCAATGTTCCTTTTTTTTTTTTAATGTTTTATTTCTGAGAGAGAGAGAGAACAAGGGAGGGTCAGAGAGAGAGGGAGACACAGAATCCGAAGACAGGCTCTAGGCTCTGAGCTAGCTGTCAGGACAGAGCCCGACGCGGGGCTCGAACCCACGAACCGTGAGATCATGACCTGAGCCGAAGTCGTACGCCTAACCGACTGAGCCACCCAGGCGCCCCAACTAGGCAATGTTCCTTGACAGAACGCATTAAGTTTACTGTTCTATGGCTTTTGTTCAGCTGTGATTCCACCCAGAATTACTAATACGTAATTTAAACTAGATATGCCCTCATAAGTTATCAATACTGTTCAAATACCTGGTCAAGTGGCTGTCAATCCTAACTATGCACCAGAATCAACTGGAAAGCAGTACAGACAGCCAGAGCCTCATCCTAATCTCAATAAACCAAAATCTCTCAGAGGTACGGACTAACATTTCTAACTTTTTAAATAGTAGAGACATTTCCATTGAGAACCAAGTGACCTACCCCTTTAGTACAGCCCAAGCGTTCACAAAACTGGTTCTCCTAGACTTCGCTGTTTCCATGAATAAATTCACCCATCTCCAAACCAGCAAAGACAAAAGTTACTAGGTTACATTTGATTTCTTAACCCTCATTTTCTGTATCCGGCTCGTTGCTTCCTTCTGGTCATTCCAGGTCCAGTTTCTCTCATATCTGTCCTTTCCATCGCCCCTCCCCCACCACCCAACATGCAGTTCATGAACTACTTACTGTTATAATACTTCCTGAGCTATTTGCTTCCTTAATCTTTGCCCCTTTAAGCCGTTCATACAACACTGCCAGATTATCCTTCTGTAATAGAGTTTTGATTACACAGCCTCCTTGCTCAAATGCCTCCAGCAGCATCCCTGTGAGTTTTTTGGTAGTTCGCTGAACGGTCCTTCTGTAGGCTCCGTAAGGGGGCACTCGTTGCTCCCTTCTCTCTGGTCTGCCCACCTCCCTCCTATCTTCTAAGGCTCCTAACTGTAAAACTTCCCCTCTTGTGGTGCATCTCCGCGTCTTCCCTGTTTGCCCATCGGCCTTCTCAGAGAAGAGCAGGCTCCCTGTTAGCATATCTGTACGTCCAAAGGCTGGTGCGCTAGGGCGCAGGGGAGTCAACGGATGAGAAAACGCAGTCTTAAAAATACATCAGAGTGGTGAGTCTTCAGTCCCCAAATCTGGTAACTGTGCTGCAGAATACAATTAAAGTAAAAACGACAAAAGCCCTTGATATTCTGACTTTCCCTACTGTGGTAGGCAGCTTTCAAAAACAGCTCTCAAGGACCCTTGACCCCGATAATTCATGTCCCTGTGTAATTCCCTCCCACTAAGTGTGGGCTGGACCTGGTGACTTGTTTCACAGTAACAGGGATGGAATGGCACTTCTGTGATTATAGAAGGCTAGGACTTCTGTCTTGCTGGTACTCTTGCCGACAGTCTCCCCTGTCCTCTCACTGATAAGGCCAGCCACCATGTTGCGAGATGCCCTACAGAGGTCCACGTGGCAAGGGAATGACGCAGGCCTCCAGCCAACCTCCTGTGAGGCCTCAGTCTAATGGTTCACAAGAACGATGTCCTGTCAACACCGGGGACGAGCCAGGGAGCAGATCTTCCCCAGCGGAGCCCTGAGATGACCGCGTCCTTACGACAATGCTAGAGCCAGAGGCCCCAGCTAAGCCAAGCTCGGATTCTTGACCAAAAGGATCCATGAGATAATACTGTCACTGGCTCCTAAGTTTAGGATTACATTGTTACACAGCAGTAACGAATACAACTACCAAAGAAGACTTTTTTAAAGAATTAAAAGATTTAAGGAAAGAAGACTTTTTTGTCGCTGTATTTAACGTTTGGAAGATTCTTGTAACTGCTAAGATGGGCATTTACTTCAGCTATCAAAGAAACTCACTGCAACGACTGGGACGACTAGCAAGGTGGCTGGAAGAGAGACAGCACCAGGCCACACTCTGTAGCAAATTCCATAATGGATATAACATCAATAGAATGATTACTTAAACCAGTAATAGCACTTCTTTTCCTAGCTAGGAGCAATTCGCTTGTTGTACACCAACTTTCTTACTAAGCCACTAAAAATGGTGTAAAAAAAAAATAAACACACTGGGTGCCTGGGTGGCTCAGTTGGTTGAGCATCTGACTTTGGCTCAGGTCACGATCTCATGGTTCATGAGTTCGAGGCCCTCATCAAGCTCACTGCTGTCAGTGCAGAGCCCACTTGAGATCCTCTATCCCTACCCCACCCCCCCAAGGGCATACATATACACCCATAACTCAAATCTGTCCAGAGGCACCAGAGAGCTTTTAAAAAGATGGCCAGTGACCCCACAAGGTACTGCTGATGGCCGAGCTGAACAGGCAGAGGAGCTGGAAAGCTCAATAGAAAGCAGTGACAGAGAGAAAGCAGTGACCGGACGACCTCGGCAGTCTCATTTAGAGGGGCATAAAATAAGATTATGGCTCCAAAGGTATCCAGGACTTGGGACAAGACCCTAGAGAGAAGGGAAGCACGGAAGTAAGCCAACATTCCGTGCAGTTTCCCCACGGAAACATTTGCTGCTTAGTAAGTGGGGCTGGTTGAGGAGCCAAGCACACACCTGAGACACTGAGGAGAACTTCTGGAAGGCTCAGAACAGCACTCCCAAGCAGGAGTTCGGCACCCACACAGGGAGGGGCCCTCATAAACACCCCAAGTTATCACGTGGGACCTATGACGAGCTACATCTGAGGAACAACAGTTAATGAGAAACAGACGAAGCCTCACAAAGATGAGAATCCAGCCTTCAAACAGTCTACTCCTCAATTTAAAAATTAAGGTACTCTGCCTCTTAATATCATGACTGCCAGGGACTAAAGTAAATCCTCTTTGGAGTAAAATAATATTATCCAGAGCCTTTATAACTTTTCCTACTTAGTATCAAAAATAACAACACATACTGGAAGAGAAGCATCAAGAGGGAAAAAAAACCCTGGTGCCTGGGTGGCCCAGTCAGTTAAGTGTCCAACTCTTGATTTCGGCTTTGGTCATGATCTCATAGTTTGTGAGATGGAGTCCTATATAGCATGGAGCCCACTTGGGATTCTCTCTGCCACCCCCAACCCGCCCTCCCCTGCTGGTGCTCTCTCTCTCTCAAAATAAATAAATAAACATTTAAAAAAAAAGGAGGGGGGGAACAAATCCAAAGGGACTAAAGAAATTAGACTGGTCAGACATGAACTTCAAAGTTACTGAAAGTAGGGGTGCCTGGCTGGCTCAGTCAGCAGAGAATGCAATACTTGATCTTGGGCTTGTGACTTAGAACCCTACACTGGACATAAGAGATTATTTTTTAAAATAATAAAAAAATACAGTTACTGAAAGTAATAGGTTCGAGAGAATCTAAGGTAAGATGGAGAATTTCACCAGACTAGTCTACGCTATTACAATAAAAATTAAAATTGAAAAAGAATTAAAATAAAAAATAAATAAAGGGTGGGCCCATATCCGGGGCCCAAGTGGGAGATGATAAAGCAAAAAACAAAAAAGAAGAAGAAAGAAAATGGAAATCCTAGAAGCAAAGTTCAGTAAATAAAATTAACTCAATTAGACAGAGCTGACGAATTTGTGTGGAGAGAATGGAAAGAAAAAAAGGATAGTGAAAAAAGTGTAAAATATACATGGAACCCTGTGAAAGTTTCAAACATACGTGTAAATTTGAAGCAAGAAGAGAATAAGAAAAAGGATGAGGAAGTAGCACTTGTTCAAAAGATAATGGCCCCAAATTTTCCCAAGCTGACAAAAGGTATCAAGTCACAGATTAAAGAACCACACACCTGGGCATGTCACAGTAAAACTACTGAAAACCAAAGACTCAGAAAAAAATACCGAGGACAACCAGAAAAAAGGCCCATATCATCCCCAACAGAGGAATGAGCCCGACACAGACTCACAACAGAAACTACAGAAGTAAGAAGACCATGAAATCAGCCTTTAAAATGCTAACTTATGAAGTACTAACTTATATTTCCATACCCAGTAAAAAAATCCTCTTAAAATGAAGGCAAAATAAAGATGTTTCCAAACAGCAGCTCACATAATTCACTGCTAACAAATCTGCATTAAGGGATTTCATAATCCCCTTCTAAGGGGAATTTTTTAGGCAAAGGGAAAGTGACCTCAGAGAGGAACACAGATACTCAGAAAGGAATGAAGAGCGAGGGAAAGGGTAACCATTAAGGTAAAAATAAATGAGTTCTGGACTACACAAAATAATAAGAACAATTATGCTGCAGAATTATGGGTGTGCTGTATGATATTAGGGCTTGAGAACACAGAGTTGGAGCCCCTGGGTGGCTCAGTTGGTTGAGCATCTGACACTTGATTTTGGCTCAGGCCATGATCCCAGGGTTATGGGATCGAGCCCTTGCACTGGGCTCTGTGCTGAGCCTGGAGCCTGTTTAAGATTCTCTCTTTCTCTCCCTCTGCTCCTCCTGCCCCAACTCTCTCTCTACAATTAAAAAAGAAAAAGAAAAAGAAAACACACACACAAAGAGTTAAAATGTATGACAATAACAACACAAAAGCAGAAAGGGAATAAATGGAGTTTATGTGTTCTAAGGTTCTTATATTGTTTGGGAAATGATAAAAATACTAGTTTACTGGTTTTAAGGGTAACCATTAAAAGAATAGTAAAATAAAATAAAAACCAATATGATAGAGGGGAATGATGAAACAAAAAATAAATTAACCAGAAGAGGACAGAAGGAGAAAAAGGAACAAAGAACAGGTAGGACACAAATAGGAAACAAATAATTAAGAAGAAAGATTTAAATCCAATATATTAGTTATTACATTAATGTAAATAAATTAAAATCCCAATTAAAAGACAAACTGACAGACTGATTTTAAGAAAACATCAGTGTATGCTGCTTATAAGAGATTCACCTTAATTGTAATGACCAAGAAAGACTGAAAGAAAATGGAAAGATACCACCTCCCTCCTATCCACCAGGCCAAAACCCAATTATTGTCAAGATAACAGTGGTAAAGCTGATTTTAACACAAAAGTATCAGAGATAAAGAACCCCGTATAATGATAAAAAAGTTGATTTAAAGGAAGACATAACAGTAAATCTGTATGAATTTAGTAATATTGTGCCAAAATATAGAAAAGCAATAATTAACAAAGGCTAAGACAACAGACAAATCTACACAGTGGAGATTGTAACATACCATTTTCAGCAACTGCCCAGGCAAGCAAGCAAACCAATCAAAACAAATACGTAATTCCATAATATATGAACAACATGCTTGGCCAAATTTTACCTGACATACACAGATCATATCCAAGTAATTATGTGCTGTACCTCCTTTTTTTTTTTTTTAATGTTTTAGCATTTATTTTTGAGAGAGAGAGAAAAAAGCGCCCGGGTGAGCAGGAGAGGCGCAGGGAGAGAGGGGGACAGAGGATCTGAAGTGGCTCCAGCAGCGAGCCCAATGCGGAGCTCAAACTCACGAACCCTGAGATCATGACCTGAGCCGAAGCTGGATGCTTAACTGACTGAGCCACCCAGGCCCCCCGATGGACTTTCTTTTAAAGGACGCATGGACATCACCACTTACTAACACTGACCATCTGTCAAGCCACAAAGCAAGTCTCCAATTGCAAAGGGTTAAGATTACACACAGTATAGGGGTGCCTGGGCGACTCAGTCAGCTGAGGCTCTTGATTTCAGCTCAGATCACGATCTCATGGTTTGTGAGATTGATCCCACATTGGGCTCTGTGCTGAGGGTGGAGCCTTGCTTGGGATTCTCTCCCTCTCCCTCTGCCCTGCTCGCAGAGCACACTTTCTCTCTCTCTCTCTCTCCAAATAAGTAAATAAACATTAAAAAAAAAATTATACACAGTATAACTCTAATGATAGAGGTGGAAACAGTAAAGACAAAAGTTCCAAAATGTTTGGAAATTAAGTACTTTAACTTCTAAATGAACCACAGGGACAAGGGAATATCACAACAAATAATTTGAAAACACTATGAATTGAATCGACAATAAAAGTACATAATACATCAAGTGTAGAATACAATTGTTTGGAAAAAAATTACTGCTTTAAATGCATATATTAAAACAGGTAGTAAAAAAAAAAAAAAACAGGTAGTAATGCTATACATATTTCTCATATTCTTTATTTCCTTCACATACTACGGTACAATATAACATATCTGCTTGTCTTTAAACAATTCAATATTTAAATTTTTTTAATGTTTTATTTATTTCTAGGAGAGAGAGAGAGAGACAGCATGAGCAGGGGAGGGTCAGAGAGAGAGAGGGAGACACAGACTCTGAAACAGGCTCCAGGCTCTGGGCTGGCAGTCAGCACAGAGCCCGCCATAGGGCTCGAACCCACGAACCACGAGATCATGACCTAAGCGAAAGTCGGATGCTTAACCGACTAAGCCACCCAGGCGCCCCTCTCTTTACTTTTTTTTAGATCTGGGATAAGCACTCTTATCTTCCAAGATTTTGCCTCCTACTTGTAATCTCCACTTAGGAGCTTCCTCTACTTCCTTACATTGATGTCAATCTACCAGAAATGCAGCTCCAATCAATGCCCATCTCATGAAAAAGAAATGTGAATATGCCAGGAATGACCAATGTAAAGTAGGATTTGAATTTTAAACACATAGTATTATTATATACTCCAGTAATGATGCGTATTATTAACTTAAAATGGAAATACACCAAAGAACTGGATTTCACAAATTTAGTATTACTAAAACTGGAACAATTATGGAAATAATTTAGTGGTACTCACCTATCGAAGTCTGACAGCTTATTCGGGTGACACCACTATTGACAGGCAAGTCATTTACATATACCTGTCCACCCTCGTAGGTTACGTTAAGAATAACCTTAAAATAAAGCAGCACAGACATTAATTCCAATTGTTTATAAATGATGACAAATTCTTCGTGTAAAGAATGCATGATCTAACTAAACTAGATGTGCAGACAAAAATAACAGAGGCTACCTAATCCTTAGCTAAGTGACATATTAAAAACATAATCAGAAGGAGACAAACCTGTTCTGTAGACACCTCCCCATCATCTTTCAAGGTAGTTACATTAATTCTGAGGCTGTCCTGCAAAATACGTATAAATTGGATAGGTATACATTTCACAAAATGAGAATAACTCAATTCTTTTTCTTTTCCCTTCAATTTTATTTATTGTATAATCACTTATAACATCAACATTTTTTAAAACCCAGCATTTTTTATGCCCTTATTCACAATTCCAACTTTTCATAATCTGTATTTCTTCTACTTAACTGTGAACTATATCACCTTTAAGAGCCTATAATATGCAAATGTAAACTTTAAAAGAAAAGATTAACACACATATACCTACTACCTAGGTTAAAAACTAGAGTACTGTCCACACCTTATAAAGTGCCCCCTCTCAATCATGTTCTCCTATTCTCAGAAGGAATCCCTAGACTGCCTTCCATATTAATCTTTTCTTTTTTTTTGGAGAGAGAATGAGAGCGTGGGAGCTCACAAGCGGTGGGTGAGAGGGGCAGAGGGAAAGAGAGAATCTCCACACTGAACATGGAGCCTGATGTAGGGCTCCATGACGTGACCCCGAGATCATGACCTGAGCCAAAATCAAGACTACTGACACCCAGGCGCCTCTTTTGCTTATCTTTATAGTTTTACTGTCTCTCTCTCTCTCTCTCTAAACGATATATTGTTTAGTTTCATCTGTTTCTTTTTTTTTTATGTTTTATGTTTTATTTTATTTTATTTTTTATTTTTATTTATTTCTAGGAGAGAGAGAGAGACAGCATGAGCAGGGGAGGGTCAGAGAGAGAGGGAATCATGGACTCTGAAACAAGCTCCAGGCTCTGAGCTGGCTGTCAGCACAGGGCCCAATGCGGGGCTTGAACCCACGAACCGCGAGACCATGACCTAAGCTAAAGTCGGACGCTCAACCGACTAAGCCACCCAGGTGAAACAGTTTCATCTGTTTCTGAGCTTTATGTAAGTGGAACAATTCTGTATGTATTCTTCTGGAAATTCTTTTATTTAAAACTGTTGATGCATGCAGCTGTGAACATTTATTTACAGTACTGTATAAAAAGCCCATCAAATGATTACCAATTATTTGTTCCACTATCAATGCGCATTTGAGTTGTTTCCAACTTTTTTGTTTTCATAAACAAAATTGCTCTAACCCTACTTAAATGTGTCCCCGAGTGCCCATGGACAAGTGTGTATTGTGCAGTTTTAGTGCCTCTCAAGGCATGCTCAAAAGCAGTTACTCAAATATTTTTTTATTTACTTTTATTTTGTAAAAATTTTTAATTTTTTATATGTTTTTATTTATTTTTGAGAGAAAGAATGTAAGCAGGGGAAGGGCAGAGGGGGAAATACAGAATCCAAAGCAGGCTCTAGGCTCCAAGCTGTCAGCACAGAGCCTGGTATGGGGCTCGAACTCGCCAACGGTGACATCATGACCCGAGCCTAAGGCAGACGTTTAACTGACTGAGCCACCCAGGTGTCCCAAGTTTATTTATTTTTTTAAGTTCATTTATTTATTTTGAGAGAGAGGGAGAGAGCAGAGAAAGAAAGGGAGAGAGAATCCCAAGCCGACTCTGCAGCATCAGTGCAGAGCCTTATATGGGGCTCGAACTCACAAACTGTGAGATCAGGACCTGAGCCGAAATCAAAAATCAGATACTCAACTGACTGGGCCACCCAGGTGCCCCAAATATTTAAGTTTATTAACGACATGCTTTCTATAAAGAAGAAAGCAGTATTAATTCACCAATACTCAAAGGAATTACAATGTGTCATTTGTAAAACAAATCCTTCCCCTAAATTTATCCACAGATAGAATCTGTTAATCTAGAATAAAAAAATATTTTGTGGGGTATTCTTAACTTTGAAAATTATTCATACACAAAATAATATGTAAGTGAATCTCTTGGCACTGTGACTACTTCCAATACTTTATATATTTCCAACAAAAGAGAGAATAAAACTGAAGTGATTTTATGAGGTTGAGGTAATCCTACCCAAAGAACAGGATTCTATACTGAATGTTGAGGCTCACTGTGATACACCTGCCAACTTACGTAGGGGCCTATGAAGCTTCGGAAGCACCCTGGCTTTCTCCTGGCCCACGCTTTTCTAGAATTAAGCAAGGGCTAAAACCAACACACTCATCCTTAGAACAAACCAACATTCAGTAAGTCATCAAACTGGTGGTTATATTTTTTTGTGTTCTAATTCCAGCCAAGAATTCTTCTTTTCAAACTAGAGGATCCGTTAACTATAGACTATTGTTTCTTCTAAGAGCCCAGAGAAAACCCTCCAATGATGGTATTCTAAGAAACCTTTTTATAGCTTCTGCTTTGCAGCAGTGAACATACACTATATAACTTGTAATTTACTGCACTTACATATATCACTTGCCTCGTAAAATCTGGGATTTGTAAAAGACAATTAACAGATGCTATCATGCTGTATTTTGCAAAGAACCAAATTCAATTAAATTTTTTAGTCCTCCCGAATGATTTCATTTCAGAAGAGATTCTAATCCCTTACTACCTCCTGGGCCTAAATTCAGAGATAGGTCATATTTCTTGCTCTCCCTGAGAGCCTCTAACTGAACTGGAAGTTCAAGCTTGTGAGCAAGGGTGGCAGATACTTAAAAAGTGGGTGGCAGAATTGAAGTTTCTACCCACCCATTTTCAATTCTTCCTCTAATTCCTTCACTCACAAGATGCCCAGCTGGTACACAATGGCCTCCTAAGGACAAAAGATAATAGATACTTGGCTTAAAATAAATGAATTATGTCTGAGGGAAGTACATGAAATAAATATTTACACATATAAGAAAATAAGTGCAGGGGCGCCTTGGTGGCTCAGGCAGTTGGGTGTCTGACTTTGGCTCAGGTTATGATCTTGCGGTCCTTGCGTTCAAGCCCTGTGTTGGGCTCTGTGCGGACAGCTCAGAGCCTGAAGCCTGCTTCGAATTCTGTCTCCCTTTCTCTCTGCCTCTTCCCCACTCACGTTCTGTCACTGTCTCAAAAATAAATAAACGTTAAAAATTTTAAAAAAAAAAAGGAAGTGTCCTCTGGATGCCTCCCTTTGGTAACCAAGTAACTTTAATATTAGAAGAATGTACTTTAAAATTTGTATTATTTTACAATCTGGGTAGCCTCAAGTTCTAACAATTGGAGATGTACACAAAACAGAAAATGATTATACTCCAGTAGATCTGAGCCACAGAGGGGCTATGACAAAAATTTCCCTCACTTCAACCAGTTTTCTTACATTCAGATGAGGTTAGCTACAAAAATGAACAGATGAACCGATATGTCATAAAGTAAGTCCAGGGATGCCTGGGTGGCTCAGTAGGTTAAGCACTGGACTCTTGATTTCAGCTCAGGTCATGATCTCACAGTTTGTGGGACTGGTGCCCTAACAGGGCAGAGCCTGCTTGGGATTCTCTCCCTATCTGTCTCCTCCCAGCCCACCTTCTTTCACGCACAAAATAAACAAACATTAAAAAAAAAAAGCAAGTATAGTGAAACATTAATGGCAGTCTAAGTTTGCACTATTCAATACTGTACCCACTAACCACATGTGGCTTTAAATTACATTTAAACTCACTAAAATTAAACAAATAAAAGTTCCTCAGTCATCCTGGTCAGCCACATTTCAAACACTCATTAAGGACAGTAAGTTACAGTGGCTACTGTAACGCAGAGAGCAAACACCATCACTCCACAGTGGTCTACTGGACAGCACTGATCTAATGTGGGGTCCACTGTAAAATGGTCTGTACATTTGAAAATTTTCACAATGAAACTGAATAAGTTAGCTGAAGAAGCTTCAACTCTTTTTAATTTTTTTTTAATGTTTTATTTATTTCTAGGAGAGAGAGAGAGACAGCGTGAGCAGAGGAGGGTCAGAGAGAGAGGGAGTCATAGACTGAAACAGGCTCCAGGCTCTGAGCTGACAGCACAGAGCCCGATGCGGGGCTCGAACCCACGAACCGCGAGATCATGACCTAAGCAAAAGTCGGACGCTTAAATGACTAAGCCACCCAGGCACTCCTCTTTTTAATTTTTTTAATGTTTTATTTATTTCTGAGAAAGAGAGAGAGACAGTGTGAGCAGGGGAGGGCCAGAAAGCGAGGGAGACACAGAATCCGAAGCAGACTCCAAGGTAGCTGTCAGCACAGAGCTGCACACAGGGCTCGAACCCACGAACTGTGAGATCATGACCTGAGTTGAAGTCGGACTCTCAACCTACTGAGCCACCCAGGCGCCCCAAGAAGCTCCAACTCTTGAAAAGCTCTTGGAAAGGCTTCCTTTCCCAAGAATGAGACTCTCCCTCTCACGGTTCAGCATTCTTTCATCTATGAAATTCTGAGTTTAGATCTGGACTTTCCAAAAGTGGAAGGAAATCATCATAAAAAGGGAGAACTGAAATGAACTCACTGGCCCCACAGTGCAGTGTACTTTCAGCTCGCAGTCAAAATGTATTTTTCTCAGACTATAGGGACTCAAATGTCTTGGGGCTTAGAAGTGATTATGATGAATCTTTAAAATTTGGAAAACAGTGTATTTCCGGAATCTCAGGAGTCATTTCATTTGTACTTGGTCTCTTAGTGCTTGCCAATCACATTCACATTGTGACCAGTTGTAACTGTGGTCCACATACAATTTCAGATACAAGTGGTTTTTAGGGCTTGCATTGTTGTGGCTTCTTGAAATGCCCCAGCAGAACTGAAACTGACATACACTCATTATTTTTGTTCCCAGGGAGAGTAATGTCATTGAAAATTTAAAAAAAAAAAAAAAAAAGTGACAATTATGGTGTAAGTCACCCCTGGACGTGGAGTATTCAAGTCTTGCCCAGTAAGAAAAGGTATAGCTATATTGTTTCTTTTCATTTTGGGAAAACTCCCATTTTATTTATTTATTTTTTTTAATGTTTTATTTATTTTTGAGAGAGTGAGAGAGAGAGACAGCATGAGTAGGGGAGGGTCAGAGAGAGAGGGAGACACAGAATCTGAAGACAGGCTCCAGGCTCTAAGCGAGCCGTCATCACAGAGCCCGACGCGGGGCTCGAACCCAGGAACTGTAGATCATGACCTGAGCCAAAGTCGAACATTTAACCGACTGAGCCCCCCAGGCGCCCCGGAAAACTCCCATTTTAAAATCTTCAAACTTTTCCCAACCAAACAGGCACTTGATGAACTGCAAACGCTGGTTTATTTCAGCATGACCCCCTGGCAGAAACGGCAAGAACGAGCCACCCTCTAGTACAAGGATGCAGTGGTTCTCCGACTCAGCCGGCCCCGGCTTCACCTGGAGGGCTTACTGAGAGACACTGGTGGGCCTCACCCCCAGAGCATGGGACTAGTGCGTTTCCAGCAGGTTCCCAGGGGATGCTGGTGCAGCCGGTCCCGCCACGCTCGAAGATCCACTCCTCCTAACACCCACCAAAGGGACGACGTCAGGTCTCCAGCCCTTCTCCCGCCCCGTCGGCCCGGCGCAGGCGCACCCCGGGGCCCTGCCCGCCGGGGCAGACAGGTGGCCCGGAATCGTTCTCGTTTTCTCACCGAGCCGCTTCTACCTTTCCCGTGCACATAAGGCAAAAACACCGCCTTGCCCAGTCCTACTCTACCCCGGGAAGGCGCCATTACAAAAGGCTGAGAGCACTTGTGGTCGGGTACTTTCGACGGCAAAAACCCCCTCGGGCTGGCAACGGCTGGGGCTGTTGTTAAGAATCCCTAAGTGTCGCTGCAGAAGGCTGAACCGCACATTAAAGAGCCCTTTTCGCTCTCTCGCTTCCTCCCGGGCCGCCCCCATTTCCTTGGGTGCTTCTCCCCACAACTCTCTCAAGCGCCCGGACCCCCGCCCCTGGCCCGTCGGGCAGGGGTATGAGGAGGCATCGACGACGACGCCGCAATCCCAAGGCTCTGGCCCGGGCCTCGCCGGAGGGTCCGGGCGGAGGAGCGGCCGAGTCGCGCCCGCCCTGCCCTACCTTCGGGGCTCGGGGCGGCAGGGGCAGCTCATGGGTAACGGTCGTCAGCCACCCGGCGGCCGGCAGCGCCGCGAGAAGGAGCAGCCGGAGGGCACACGGCGTCGGCGGAGAGCCCTCCATCTTGGACAGGCCAGCTGCGGCGGACGGCCGGGAGCTCAGGGCCCAGCCAGCCCGAAGGGCGGGGACGGGGCGAGGCTACTAGGGGGGCGGGACCCTGAGAGGCGGGGCGGGACCCTGGGAGGCGGGGCCGGAGCGAGACGGTCTGGGGAAGGAGCCGGCGGCGGCGGTGGGCGGGGACTCGGGGGAAAGCGGGCTGCGCACGCGCACCGCCGCGGAACGTCGAGGGGCGGAGTGAAGCCCGGGAAGGTCCGATTTCGTCCTTAGAGTGGAGGTGTGGGTTGGAGGGAGCTAATAAGACAACGGAGTGAAAAGCTTTTCGATGCCGTGATTTTAAAATTAGTATATTCTAGCAAAATTAGTATATATATGTATGTACAAAGCTGTAGCTGTGTGTATGTATTTTGCATAAATAAAATGAAAATAATGGTAATGTAGGTAAAGACTTGTGCATTATAAACAGTATGTCACGTTTAGAGGTGAAATTTTATTAGCTCGGTAGTTCTCACCCTTGGCTGCACCTGGGAATTGCCTGGACAGTTTTAAAAATTACTGACTCTGGGGTCTTCTGGGGCACACGAGATTCTGATTTAATTAGTCTGGGCTGCTGCTCAGGCGTTGGTAGTTGTTAACAAGTTCCCTAAGTGATTTATTGTGACAGGGTTGAGGATCAACCACACATCGAATGTTCAACATTCAGCGTATCACGGAAGACCGCACAGGAACAACATTCTCCGCAGGAAACCAGTCTACAGGGGCTCTGGGGGCCTTTCTAGTCAGTTTCTTAATCTACAAAATAAAGATGATGTCTTCCCCCTTATTTATTACTAAAACATATTTTATGCAACTCTCCAAAGCAGAGAGTGCCAAGAAAGTCAGGCATTTCAGATTATAGGTTTGCATATTGATTGAGAAAAACTTGGAGACATTGCCATTCAAGGCAGAATAAGAAATGTTTAGCCTTTTTTCCAAAGTAAAACTTTTGACTTGGAAAGAACCCAAGCCACTTTTCTCTCTTAGCCGTTCTTTTATCAACCCCTCTCCCCATGCCTGCTTTTCTAGCTGGGGTAAATTTTAAAATCTTTGTGGTATACTACAAAATCATTCCACTAACTCCTTGCCTACTATGAGATACGCAAGGACATTATTAGCTTGCAAGTGGTTTCTGCAATGAAGTCCTACCCACTCTTGGATTCCAACTACAACCCCTGGGGTTTTCACTCTATTTCAGACTGCCAGGATTAGAAAGAGATTAGCACATATGACATGTAGATTTGCATAATTTTAACTGGTAACATATGTATAAGATTATAAAGTACCTTTACATGAAAAAGTGGATGGGGAAGATGCAGTAGTCTGTGGTTTTGAACAGAGCCCTCCCCATAGTCTGACCATCCATTATTCTTCCACTTGTCTGTCTCCATAGCTAGGTCTGAGCTCCGGGAAGGCTTTGGCCAAACACAGTAAAAAAAAACCCTGCTCGCTTAGGGGTTTGTTGGAGGCTTCGGCACACACCAATAACCAATTCTCTGCCACACCAGCTATGTCCTACAATTTAATTCTGACAGCATCTACTTAGAGATGGCATCCGATCCCACAGGGTAAAGGCTCAGTCCCATGAGACAGCCCATACCTACCTTCACCCACACACACTTCAGATGCCAGTTGCAAGCCCAGGTTATTCTGACCAATCAGCTACAGAGCAGAGGTTCCAAAGACTCCCTCCATGGACTAGATTAATATGCTGGAGCAGAACTCGGGGAAACACTTACGTTGATCAGTTTATTAAAGGATATAATAGAAGGTACAGATGAACAGCCGGATGGAAAGAGATGCATAGGGTAAGGCATGCGGGTAGGGACAGAGTTCCCATGCCCTTTCCAAACATGCCATACACGTCCCCCTGTTCACCAGGCTTGAAGCTCTCCAAACCCTATACTTATGGGCTTTTAACGGAGGCATCGTCAATCACTAACTCCATTTTCAGCCTTTGGGGCATCTGAAGAGAATCAGGGGTAGGGCTGAAAATTCTAAGTGTCTAGTCACATCGTGGTCATTCTGGTGACCAGCCCTCATCCAGGAGCCAGCCAGGAGCCCACTAAGAGTTACTTCATTAGAACAAAAGACACTCCAGTCACCCAGGAAATCACAATGGTTTCAGAAGCTCTTGTCAGGAACAGAGTCAAAGACCAATATTAGACGTGCCTGGCTGACTTAGTTGGTGGAGCATGTGACTCCTGATCTTGGGGTTATGAATTCAAGACCTACACTGGGTCTAGAGCTTACTTAAAAAAGAAAAAAAAAAAAACAATATTAGAACAAGAGATGCTCCTACTATTCTTATCACTTAGGAAATTACACAGTTTTCCGGGGCTCCATGCCAGGAACTGGGGGCAGAGACCAATACGTATTTTCTGTTAATTCACAGCATGTCTTTTATATGAAAAACAATCAATCCAGAGCCCATATTCTGAGTCCCCTCCTTTACCAGGTTGCTAAGGTTCAGGAGGCAATATTCCTCTGTCCTAATCATCCCAGAGCCAGGTACCAGACAATTAGAGATAACCTATATACCCCAGAGCCCGCTGCAATTATTCAAACTAGCCAACTCAGTCTGTTTATCCCACCTTGTCTCGCTTTCCTCATAGAAACCACAATATGAACTTTTGCCTATAGTTTCCTCTTGGCTCCTTCCACCTCCTGACCAACTCTGGTAACTTTCTATTCAGCCCTGCATGGCATGTGTGCTCCTGCCTGCCTTGGGAACTGTGAGTAACCATTTTTTTTCTCTTAAGTTTATTTATTTATTCTGAGAGAGAACAAGAGAGAGCAGTGGAAGGGGAGAGAGAGAGAGAGATTGAGAGACAGAGAGAGAGAGAGAGAGAGAATCGCAGGTAGGCTCCTCGCTGTCAGCATGGAGCTGAATGGTGGCTTGATCTCACAAACTTCAAGATCAGACCTGAGCTGAAATCAGGAGTCAGATGGAGCCACCCAGGTATCCCCAAAACTATTTTTTCTTTCTTTTTTTTTTCAACTTTTAATGTGTTTTTATTTATTTTTGAGAGAGAGGGAGAGAGAGGCAGCATGAGCAGGGGAGGGTCAGAGAGAGGGGGAGACACAGAATCCGAAAACAGGCTCCAGGCTCTGAGCTGTCAGCACAAAGCCTGATGCGGGGCTCAAACCCACTAACCATGAGATCATGACCTGAGTCAAAGCTGGATGCTCAACCCACTGAGCCACCCAGATGCCCCCCAAAACTATTTTTTCAATGGCATTCATCTCCTGACCTTTGGCTTCATCATACATGAATAATAATAAAACCTACATTCTACTTTTTTAAAGGTCTTTTTTTTTTTTTTAAGTTTACTTCTTTATTTTGCGAGAAAGAGAGAGGGTGCAAGGAATGGGCAGAGAGAGACAGAAAGAGAAAATGCCAAGCTGTCAGCACAGAGCCTAACACAGGACTCAGTCTCATGAACCCTGAGATCATGACCTGAGCCGAAATTAAGAGTTGGACGCTTAACCAACTGAGCTACCCACGTGACCCAAAACCTGCATTTTAAAACACCATACTAGGGGTGCCTGGGTGGCTCAGTTGTTAAGCATCTGACTTCAGCTCAGGTCATGATCTCACAGTTCAGGTTTGAGCCCCACGTCAGCCTCTGTGCTGACAACTCAAAACCTGGAGCCTGCTTCAGATTCTGTGTCTCCCTCTCTCTCTGCCCCTCCCCTGCTCATCCTCTGTCTCTCTCTCTCTCTCAAAAATAAATAAAAAATTTAAAAAAAAATCCCACCATACTAATGTCTACTGAAAAGATCAATGCTAAAATAATCACAACAAAGAAACGGCAGCTAAAGTTCTTGACAAGGACAGGCAGATGAAGAAGCAGGCTTTTCAGCCAGCTAAAATTGTCCTGAAGCCCCTGGACTGCCACTGTTCCCGATATCTTACTGTAAATGTTATGACAGAAGTGACTGACTAGGATGAATCTCAGTTCACCAAACTGAGATTTCTTAGTGTGTGAGGGGAGAAAAGCAGGAAAAGGAACAGAAGTTGAATAAAGGAAATCATGCTGGACTTGTCAAACATGTGAATACTTCTACAACATATATGATCATAAATATGGTGTGTGTGTGTGTATTTTAAATAGGCTTCACGCCCAGCATGGAGCCCAATGTGGGGCTTGAACTCATGACCCTGAGATCAACATCTGTGCTGGGATCAACAGTCAGATGTTTGACCGAGGAACCGGGGCACTCCATGTGTTTTTGGTGTTCATATATTTAGTCATTTAATAACAGGACTTTACTTTTGACAATTTTAGTAAGGCTAAAGACTTAAAAACTTTTTTTTAACATTTATTTATTTTTGAGAGAGAGAGAGAGAACACAAGTGGGGAAACGGGCAGAGAGAGAGAGAGACAGAGAGTTCAAGGCAGGCTCCAGGCTCTGAGCTGTCAACACAGAGCTCAATGCGGGGCCCCAACCCATGAACTGTGAGATTTTGACCTGAGCCAAAGTCGGACACTTAACCTACTGAGCCACACAGGCGCCCCAGGCTAAAGACTTTTGAATGTGGTTGTTCAGGTTAGGCATATGAAAAGATTTCAACAGAGAAATTAGTCATGATGGTTGGTGATACTGATATTTGGAAGGCAATACAAATTTACTAATCTTTTCTCTAAATTAAATCTACTTGAGTATTTATTTTTGGTAGAATTGTGAAGGATGTATCTTGTTTCTTTTCACCTATGTATCTACTATATAAACCACTTAAATACTTACACCATTGGAAATTCCAAGTGTAATATGATGACAAGCATAATGTATATAATGTCATGAAATGGTATTTTTCCCTCGAAGGTAGAATATTTGATATTTAATGATATGTCAGTGTGTGTGTGTGTGTGTGTGTGTGTATTCAGTATAGCATAATTTAAAGATCTAGCAAATTATACACTGAGTAATAAATAAGGTATTCTATCTTGGGTGTAAGATATACACACGTGGGCCTGGAATCTGCGAAAGAGCCTGGCAACATCATTTATGGTCATTAGTGAATCA